ATATATATATATATATATATATATATATATATATATATATATATACTGTATATATATATATAATAGGTTCATTGTTTCATTCATTCATTCACACATAGACTGACATACAGTATGCCAAGCTTTTATTTCTTGTCGTTTTGATGATTATGGCTTACAAGTAATGAAAAACCTAAATTCAGTGCCAGAGACAATTAAAATACTGTGAAGAGGTTCAATATTGTCACACTCTAATCAGCTGATTAACTTTTAGACATGAGCTACAAATGTCTCATTCCTGAAGTCCAGCCTCTCCTGAACCAGAAACATGAGGAGACACAGAACTGGACTGTTGCTCAGTGGTCTGATGTCCTCTTTTCAGATGAAAGTAAATTCTTCATGTCATTTACAAATCAGGATCTCAGAGTCTGGAGGAAGAATGGGGGAGTGGTGGCACAGAGGTTAGAAGATGGGCTTGTGATCGGAAAGTCGCAGGTTCAACTCCCGGCACCGTCAACATAAGAAAAAATGTGGGTGGAAAAGGTGGAACAGCCACACCTCCCTCCACCCTCATTCATCCCACTCTGGGCCCCTGAGCAAGGCCCTTAACCCCCATCATCTGCTCCCTAAACAGGTCTCTCTTGAAAATGAGTTCTCGTGGCTCAATGAGACTACCTGGATAAATAAAGGGTAAATGAAAAAAAAAAAAAAAAAGAATGGACAAGTCCAGATTCCATGTTGCTTCAAGTTCAGAGTGAAGTTTCTACAGTCAGTGATGGTTTGGGTCCATGTCCTCTGCTGGTGTTGGTTCACTGTGTTTTCTGAAGTCCAGTCAACGCAGCATCTACCAGGACATTTTAAAGTACTTCATGCTTCCTTTTAGTCACAAGTTTTATGGAGATGCTGATTTCACTTTCCAGCAGGACTTGGCTCCTGCCCACACTGACAAAGGTACCAGAAGCTGCCTGTGGAACATTCAAATTTTCAGAGACATTGATTATTATTATTTTTTTTGTAAGCCATAATCATCTTAATGAAAAGAAATAAAGGCTTGAAATATTTCAGTTTATGTGTAATAAATCCATGTTGTTGTTTTTTTTTTCACTTTCTGAAGTGAGTGACAAAAAAATTTACTTTTTTATATTAGTTATTCTATTTTTTAGATGCACCTGTGTATATACTTACTGTATGTAAAAACAATATTTGCTTTTATTGTATATTTGTAAGGTTTTATGACCTCCAAATATTGATGGTTAAGTGAAAATGTACAGCCTCCCAATCCCTCTCCGCTCCATCCCCCATCCCTGAGAGAAACCCTACAGGTTTTACTCATTCCTTTTTTCTTTATCTTCATATTCTGTTTGCTATTTAAAATAAAAACGAAAAACAAAGACATAAACTCTAAATCTTAGGACTTTTTTATTTGCAAACTGACAGCAAAAATAAATAAATAAATAATAAAATTAATTTTGTTGAAATGTTCCGATGATTTTTCTCTGAACACAAAGCACTGAAACCACTTAAGGCAACTCATTAATGATGATCTTAGTTCTGTAGAGGCTCTGAACAGAATACAGCCACAGCGTACTGAGAACACCTGACAAAACTTTACCTGCTTGAAATTCATCCTCCATGTAAGGTAAATAGCTTTGTTAGTTTCATTTAGAACGGGCTTCATATGGAAATGAATCTGTATCTTCAAAAAAAAAAAAAAAAAATCCCTTCTTTGTCAATTAGGGAGTTGTTTATTGAATTTGCATAATCTGAATATTTGTAGTCTTAAGTGGTATAATTGTGTTGTATCAATAAGGTTGTTAAAGCAGTATTGTGGACCGTTTTCTCTGCTCACAATTCATTGTTTAAGGGAAACTCATTATCATTTCAGTTTCTCCTTTCATTCGCGCTTTAAGGCAACACAAGTAAACGTTCCATCCGAATCCTGGAAAAATAAAAATGTTTAAAAAAATTCCAGTGTTCAAAAACATCAGCGTAGACACCTGGTAGGCAACATAGATAATACAAAATAAAGAAAGATAATTATTCATGAATAATCCTGGCACTAATTGAGATGCGTTGTCATTAAAGCTCCAAAGATTACAATAATATACTTTTAGGATTAGGAGGAAACCATGTTTATTATATTTGTGGAACAGCCCAATATAGCATATGTGGTACTTTTTTCTGCAGTCACATCTGTTTTCATCACTTATTTAGCCACAAACTGCATTAGAAACTAAGTATCTGTCTGCGGTTTCAATTTCACTTCACTGTGTTTCAGCAGGAAGCTGTTTGTGTAATACTTTATTTCTCTGGTGTTTTTTTTTATAGATCTCCCACTCGTCAATCTCTCTGTGGATCCTCAGCCGGTGTTGGAGGGCAATATGGTGAAATTCTACTGCTCCGCAAAGGCCAACCCTCCTGTTACACTTTATAGGTGAGACCATAAAACCGAGCCATGTCACACAAGTTCTCCACACACCACAAATGGTTATATAATGTATGGGAGAACGAGAAGCACTTCAGTTAATGAGGTCTTTTCTGATCGATGTAAGTTGGTGAGAAAATAATTTTCACACCAAGTCACATTTAACACTCCGCATTGATGGCATTAATCTTTGTCAAACACCTTCTTATGATTCCATGACACCATTACTTGAAACGAGAGGACAGAAAACAATGAAACACAGATGAAAAACGTAATGGAAATATATCACAGAAAAATCAATTGGGGAAGCTTGTCATGTTCCACGAGGCTGCTGCAAAGTCTTACAGGGGCTCTGTTGAAAACTGTTGGCTTCACAATCACACCGTCTCCCCTGAACTGTAAAATATGCGTCAGTGTGGAAGAGCAGTGCTGAAAGGTTAATTTGCATAGCAACGAAGAAAAAAGTCATGTTTACACATTTTTGTTTTTTAGATTGTGTAGACAGACAGCTCCTGTCCGCAGGGATCTGTCAGCTTTTTGATGGTCGAGGGAAAGCTTTTTTTTCTGTTTAAAAACTAAATTTTTATTTTGTATTTAACCTTTATTTATACAGGTTGTCTCATTGCATCACAAGAACTCATTTTCAAGCGAGGCCTGTTTTAGACAGACAACATGTAGAGTACAAACAAGAATATACAACAATAAAAAGCAATTAAAATAAAAACTAGTATTAAAAACACTGTTACTTTTTAGCAACATGGTCCTGTTAGCAGAGTGGTTCTGTTAGCAGTGAGGTTCTCTTAGCAGCATGGCCCTGTTAGCAGCATGGCCCTGTTAGCAGAATGGCCCTGTTAGTGGAGTAGTGCAGTTAGCAGCATGGGCCTGTTAGCAGAGTGGCTATGTTAACAGTGAAGTTATGTTAGCAGCGTGGTCTGTTTGCAGCATAGTCCTGTTAGCAGCATATTCATGTTAACAGTGTGGTTCTGTTAGCAGCATGGTCCTGTTAGCAGAGTGGCTATGTTAACAGTGAAACTATGTTAGCAGCGTGGTCTGTTTGCAGCATAGTCCTGTTAGCAGCATATTCATGTTAACAATGAGGTTCTGTTAGTAGTGTGATCATGTTAGAAGCATGATCCTGTTAGCAGTATAGTCCTGTTAGCAGTGTGGTCAGCTTAGCAGCATGGTCTTGTTAGCAGAGTGGTGCAGTTAGCAGTGTGGTCATGTTATCAGCATGATACCTTTAGCAGTGGACCTGTTAACATCATAATCCTGCTAGCAGTGCAGTACTGTTGGCAGCATAATCCTGCTAGCAGTGTGGTCCTGTTAGCAGCATAATCCTGCTAGC